TCTATGTAAAAATGATATCCTGTCTAAACATCAGTCAGGCTTCAGAAAGCAACATAGCACCATCACTGCCACAATGAAAGTGGTGAATGACATTACGAGTATTTTAGATAATAAGCAGAGTTGTGCAGCTCTATTTATTGACCTTTCCAAAGCGTTTGATACCGTCGATCATCGCATCTTAAAGCAGAGACTACTCAGTATTGGCATATCCAGCCATGCAGTGGGGTGGTTTGTGAACTACCTCTCTGAAAGGTCCCAATGTGTTCATTTTGATGGGCTGTCTTCTGAGTGGTTAAACATTACTAATGGTGTTCCTCAAGGTTCTGTTTTAGGTCCACTTTTATTCTCAATCTACATCAATAGTTTAGGTGAAAATGTGGATGAAGCTACTTTGCATTTTTATGCGGATGACACCGTGATGTACTGTGCAGGTCCCTCCATTAAGGAGGCGGTTGTTAAATTACAGGCTGTTTTTAACATTATTCAGACTCAGCTGTCTGAACTAAAGCTTCTTTTAAATGTTGAGAAAACCAAGGTAATGCTCTTTTCTAAAGCTAAAAAGACTCCAGAGACTGCTTTGGATATTGTGACTATGCAAGGACAAGTACTCCAAGTGGTTACCTGTTATAAATACCGTGGTATCTGGCTTGATGATTGTCTTACTTTTAAACTTCAGGTCATTAATCTGCTTAAAAAGCTGAGGGTTAGATTAGGTTTCTTTTTCAGAAACAAGTCCTGTTTCTCTTTTGAAGCCAGGAAAAGGCTCTGTGACCTTTGACCTGTGCTGGACTATGGTGATTTGATGTATATGAATGCACCTGCCCATTGCCTGGAAAGGTTAGATGCCGCCTATCACAGTTACTAACTGTAAAGCACTTACTCATCACTGTACCCTGTATGCCAAGGCAGGTCTGCCTTCACTTACTGTACGGAGGCTCAGTCATTGGTACATGTTCATATATAAAGCCATGCTGGGTAAACTACCGACTTATATCTGCTCTTTGATCTCACGGAGAGTGGCAAGTAGCTATTGCCTGAGATCCCAGGATGTGTTCTTACATGTGCCAAGTGCTAGGACTGTTCTAGGTACTAAAGCTTTTATGTGCGCTGCTCCTCTGGCTTGGAACACTATGCAAAAAATATTGAAACTGAGCATTTTGATTCCCTTGCATCATTTTAAAGCACGGCTGGATGAAATGTTATTAGATACCTGTCATTGTGAATAGGTTGCTAATGTATACCCCTGTAATTATGTTGTGATGTCCTTTTGTTTTCTGTTTGTTTTTATGTGTAACTAATGTACCGCAGGTCTCCCTTGAAAAAGAGATCGTTGATCTCAATGGGATTTTTTAACCTGGTTAAATAAAGGCTACAAACAAACAAACGAAAAAAAGGTGACATTTTGAGAAAAAGTAACATTTGGAAAAAAAGTCAATTAAGTCAAATCTGAGGAAAAAAGTCAAATCTGAGATGCATTGTGCTCCATGTATGGGCAACGTCCTTCTGTAAATCGCCATGTAACCGTATAACAAACATATATTCTTTGCAAACTCTTGTGGGGCCGGATTTGGCCCCCGGGCCGTGAGTTTGACACCCCTGTATTAAAGTATCAATGTCTTTTACTTTGCTTCTAAAAAAGAAAAGGATTGTCGATCATTACATTGAAAACATTGAGACAGTACATTTGTGGCTCATTTAACTTTTTCAAAGATGAACTGATTCATGACATCTCATTAAACAAGCTAATTATATTTATAAACAAATATCTATTAGGATAAATTGAAAAGTGATCACATTGTCAAAAATCATAATCACGATTATTTGGGTCAATAATTGATATCACGATTAAATACGATTATTCATTGACTTTAAAATGCAAACAATAATTTGAACAGTATCTTTTTAACTGTTGATTACCCTGAACGTATAATTCAACTGAAAAACCAATACAAAAATAAATGATGCATTTAAATATCAAAATAAACAAATATTTTGGAGCGCACTTCAAGCTACTAAACATATATAAATATGATAAATACAAATAAATGAGACCAAAATTAATGATCAAATAGGTTGCAGTGCACTGTCACAACCTAGCAAAAGCTAAATAACAGTTTTCGATTATGTTGTTTTCGTAATTGTGTCAGGCCAAAATCGTAATTGCAATTAAAATATGATTAATTGCACAGCCCTACCTCATCGCCACTTTGAGTTCTAACCGGTTACCTTGGCGACACACTTTACCTCACATTTACTATATACAGTATTGATTGTCCTTCCTCCTTATCTTCCAACCATTTGGACGCAGACTTGCATTTCCCCATAACGATGTTGTTTAACAACCGGCGTAAACGAACCTTCGCGCGCTATCAAGCAGTGAGCGTGCGATGTCCTGTTCAGATGACGTCAAATCCAACGGGATGCCATAAATAAACTACACAGAATCACACTACACACCTACGCAATGATTACATTCAGGCACACTGTAGAATACAACCTCTTTGGACAGTTCATATACTTATTGGAAACAAGCTACAAAATGTAATACCTTGAATGTAATTAAAAACAGGGTTCAAGTCTTTTAAAGGGCCCATGTCATGGCCATTTCCACTGATCATAATTACATTGTTGAGGTATACTAAAATAGATTTATACTGTGCAATTTTCCAAACTCACATTGGTTTCGCATACAGCATCTCTGTCAAGCATGTGTATTCAGCAGTATTCACTTTCTCCACTAAACGACTCGTTGGAGCTCTTGCCCCCCCCTCCCTGTGAGCCTAGTGTGCTCCGATTGGTCAGCTCGGCCACTCGTTCTGATTAGTCAACCACCAGAGAGGCTGCGCCCATGTCAGTGCTTTTCCCGGCTGCTCTCAGCGTAACATCAGTCTTATCATGGCGTCGGTACAGCGGTATATTTTATATACATATATATTTTTAACTGTTGTTATAGAAGAGTGTGACGGCCCCAGGGCCTTTGTCTTACGATGGGGTGGAGCTGAAGAAGCTAATCAGCACGATCACGGACACCTCCGGACACTACGGCCCCAGTCTCTCTCCAAAGCGGCTGCAGGAAGACTAACTCTGCGATCCTCTCAACCACCTATCTTTGCATTTACCACAATAAATGTGCCGTGGTTTTGTAAACTCGTGTATGTCTCCTTGTCTTTCCGTTGTGGCCTACGAGCTACTCTCATAACAAAGAGTAAGTTATTTTTACCCGTTATAAACTACTACTGTTTGATGAGAAATCAAATCATGGTTTGCTATATATGAATTCAGGGAAGAAAGGATAGGCCTACTAAGTATTTCCATTAAACTTTATTTTTAGAAATGTACAAAATGAACATAAATATACATATATACACGGTATATCATCCATTCCTCCTCCTCTTGCCTGCGCACAGCCGGTGCGGTGCGGTGCCTTTTAGCACGACGCCTCAGTAGTAGTAGAATCCCTTCCCCGTCATGGATTGTCCGCCAGGATCTGGCTGGACGAAATCAAATGCAAATCACAAAATATTAGAGAAACTTAGTTGTTTTAGATTCGTTAGTAGTAGTTGTGTAATGAACAGCTTGCCTGCTAATATGCTAACCTAGCTTTGTTTACCTTGGTAGCTAACACGATATGAACGTTAGCTTGGAGGAAAGGCAACTATAATGCAGTGTAATAAAACTACTATGAACAAAAGCTAGTGGTTCATATTAGGCTAGCAATAACGTGTTTATAATTGCAATCGTATACGGGTATTCTGCTACCATACAATGTAACTTGCATGAATACATTGTTTTGCGCTAGCATACAGCTAGCCTCGTTAGCTACATGCAGTATATGTACGGTCACAATGTACGGTAAATAACAGTACAGTATACTGTATGAGTATTCCGTGTGTGTGACTGCAGACATTCTCCTGCCATGACAAACATGTAAGGCCATCTGCTGACATTGTAGTTGATATATTTAAACGCTAGCAACGTAGCATCACAAAAATGTTTTTCTGACCAAAACTAGCTCAAGCTCCGTGTGTTAGATCGCTACGCCAGCTATAATGTAATTACGTTTCGCGACTGACCGGCAAATCACCCGCAGTATACTGTCAATAGGTATTTTGTGTGTGAATGCAGACATTCTCCTGCTATGAGATACATGTATGCAAGGCCATCTGCTGATATTAGAGTTGATATATGGAAACTCTAGCAACTTAGTTAGCACAGTTAGCACTGTGTCAATGGCTTAGCAGTCCAACACAGTTTACACATTTAAACAGTCTTGTTTGATAAATACACAAATAACAATGCAAACTTACAGGTTGTATACCCAGATCTTCCCCTGCTCCAAACGGTCCAAACAAGCTGTGCATATCCGGCCTCAAACTGGGCAATGTTTTGGAAGCTTTCGTCTGTGAAATGCCGGTTCTTCGAACCTCTGGAGGAGGAACACGCCGCTGCTGGTGTGGCCATAGCTCTTCGGGATTGGTCCATTTCGTTCCGGGTACCGCATGACATCAGGCGGTACCCGGAACTAAATGGAAGACTCAAATGGGCAGTGACGTATCTCCAACGAGGCGTTTTGGGGAGGTATTTTCTGTGTTAGAGTTTTACTCGCTACAGGGTGTACTTTGAGGGTTTTGACTCTGCACACCGTTTACATGCATAAAAACCTTCATAACACACAAGGGGACGGGTAATAACCGGAAAAGCATGACATGGGAGCTTTAATATAAATTAAACTTTATTGATGTTTCCACAACAGCAGCAAACACCACATTAAGACAGGAAATACAAATATGATAAACACAACGAGGGTCAGCGCAAAGCTGACAACGTTATTTACAGACCAACGTATTCACACAGAGAAACCGTACAGGTGTGTGAGGAACAGGTGTGTGAGGAACAGGGGTGTGTCTACAGGTGTGTGAGGAACAGGGGGCGGAGTCTGAGGGGAGTTCACCTGCAGGGGGGCGGAGTCTGAGGGGAGTTCACCTGCAGGGGGCGGAGTCTGAGGGGAGTTCACCTGCAGGGGCGGAGTCTGAGGAGAGTTCACCTGCAGGGGCGGAGTCTGAGGAGAGTTCACCTGCAGGGGCCGGAGTCTGAGGGGAGTTCACCTGCAGGGGGCGGAGTCTGAGGAGAGTTCACCTGCAGGGGGCGGAGTCTGAGGGGAGTTCACCTGCAGGGGGTGGAGTCTGAGGAGATACAGACATTGGTTTAATATACATTTGTTTCATATTCAAATTCCAGTTTTTCATGTGCAAAACCAAAAGCATTAGTTTGAACAACGCGTTTTATATCTGAAAGCTCCAAAACAGGATGAGAGAGGACTCTTTACGGAGAGGCTAGCATTAGCAACATGTTAGCATCAGCTGGGATCAGACGAACGCTTCGGTCAGGTTTTGTCACGGCCCCCCCCTCTGAGAACAACCTGCTGGGGGGGCTACAATTCGGCCTTTTGTTCACATCATCTCCCCGACACTGAAGATTACCGTTTCTCCTGAACGCAGCACGAGGCGCTGCAGAGATATAACCCTGATGATAAACACTAACTAAGCCCCGCCCCCTGTGACATCACTCACCGTCAGGTGGAGGTCCTCGGCTGCAGGTCGTCTGTCAGAGAGACAGGTTGTTAATAAAGGTTATCACTTTAATGATAGATGTAATAACCTTCAGTACTGAGAGTGAGTGACAGCTGGTCAGAATACGCTTCAGGTGGGTTTTGTCACGGCCCCCCCTCTGAGAACAGACTGCTGGGGGGGGCTTCAATCGGCCTTTCGTTTCATCACTTCCACACAAACACTTTTATTCTGAAAATCATGACCACTTCCTGTTGGAGCTTACCTTCAACATGATGGGGGGGGGGGGGGTGACCTGAAACACACAATAGATAGATTGTAAGATGTATTGTTCAAGTCTCTCTCATCATGTAGCAGCTGGAGACGAGTCAGTGAGAAACTGAAGTCCTCCTCCAGAGCAGCATGGATATATAAGGACATGAAACTAACACAGAAAGAGAACTGCATCGTTGAGGTTACAGATTACCAACTTGAAGCCCGTTAGAGTTACACTGAGCTCCAGCTCCTGAGGCACAGCCGCGTCCCCACAGAGGCTTCGGAGCACTTTTTAAAGTAGGGTACTTCTCCAGCAGCACTACCTTTACTGTCCTGTACCAGAGTACTTCAACAGTGTGGCTTTACTCATATTACTGAAGTACTTATACCATGTCATATTAGATCCTTTACTGTCCTTTGCTTCTTAAATAACATTATGAACAGTATAATGATATAAACTATAGAACAATGAGTTCCATGAGATGTGGATATAACAGAAAGCTCAGCACAGGGCGCTGATGTAGAGACCGGAGAGTAATGAGAGCGGCGCTACATCGCGTGGGGCGACAGGTACTTTGGAAACCGTGTTACAGCGGCAACTTCTAAACTATACCAACTCATTATTTAAAATATAGAGAGCGCTTTTCTCCAACATGTTAAACTGCTGTGACGGCAGGAGATGAGCTCCAGCTGTTTGAGAGACAGCTGCAAGTCCCCGTAGAGAGGACTCTTTAAAGGAGAGGCTAGCATCACATTAGCATCACTAGCATTAGCATCACTTTAGCATCAGCATCACTAGCATTAGCAACATGTTAGCATTAGCATCACATTAGCATCCCTAGGATTAGCAACATGTTAGCATCAGCATCACTAGCATTAGCATCACATTAGCATCCCTAGCATTAGCAACATGTTAGCATCCCTAGCATTAGCAACATGTTAGCATCACTAGCATTAGCAACATGTTAGCATCACTAGCATCAGCTGGGATCAGACGAACGCTTCGGTCAGGTTTTGTCACGGCCCCCCCCTCTGAGAACAACCTGCTGGGGGGGCTACAATTCAGCCTTTTGTTCACATCATCTCCCTGACACTGAAGATTACCGTTTCTCCTGAACGCAGCAGGAGGCGCTGCAGAGATATAACCCTGATGATAAACACCAACAACTAAGCCCCGCCCCCTGTGACATCACTCACCGTCAGGTGGAGGTCCTCGGCTGCAGGTCGTCTGTTAGAGAGACAGGTTGTTAATAAAGGTTATCACTTTAATGATAGATGTAATAACCTTCAGTACTGAGAGTGAGTGACAGCTGGTCAGAATACGCTTCAGGTGGGTTTTGTCACGGCCCCCCCCTCTGAGAACAGACTGCTGGGGGGGGCTTCAATCGGCCTTTCGTTTCATCACTTCCACACAAACACTTTTATTCTGAAAATCAGGACCACTTCCTGTTGGAGCTTACCTTCAACATGACCTCAGCTGGAAAGGTTGCAGTCAATGCTCTCTCTGAAGAACGGAGGGATCCCGAACCTCAGGATCAAATCTCTGTCAGAGTTTTGGAGCTGGAGAGGAAGAAAGGGAAGCTTCCTTTCGACTTCACGCCCCCCTCTGAGGAAACCATGCTGCACAAGGGAAGCAGAAACCTTGCAGGGAAGCCAAGATTTCTAACGGTCTATCACTAATGGTGATCTCTGGGCCCGTAGATCTCGGCCTCCGTTACGGATGGTATAGCTTCGTTATTGGTTTGTTCCGACCTGGAACGTTGCAGCGTGTGTTTGTATGTAATTTGTGCATCTGTCTGTTTTAGTTTGTCTGTCTCCCGTTTTATTTTGAAAAGTGTTCCCCCTCCCGTCTTGTCTGTTGCCCTGTGTCGTCTCCTCCACCCTCACCTGTGTCTTGTTCGTTTGATTAGTCTGTGGGTATTTAGGCTCTGTTTTCCTGTTAGTGTGAGTGAGTGTGTGTGTCCTTGTTGCTGATGACAGTCATATTGAGGCTGTGTATCATGTACCACAGCGATGAATAAATGCCCACACCGGGTTGTATTTGAACTCTGCCTCCTTGCTTGGTCGGGGCCGCTCAATGGTCAGCTTCACAATTGATCTGAAACACACAATAGACAGAGAGTACTTCAACAGGGTGGCTTTACTCGTATTACTGAAGTACTTGTACCATGTAATATTAGATCCTTTACTGCAGTAAACGCCACTGCTCTGGAGTTCAGACACGCTCACTCAGGAGGAAAAGTACTCTGATCTTTGAGTACAAGTACTCGGGTCTTGTTCTTCAGTAAAAGTAGAAGTACTCTGATCTTGTTCTTCAGTAAAAGTAGAAGTACTCTGATCTGGTTCTTCAGTAAGAGTACGCCCTTTACCTCTGAGTTGAAGTACATTGCCTCTGAGTTGAAGTACACTACCTCTGAGTTGTAGTACACTGCCTCTGAGTTGAAGTACACTACCTCTGAGTTGAAGTACACTACCTCTGAGTTGTAGTACACTACCTCTGAGTTGTAGTACACTACCTCTGAGTTGTAGTACACTGCCTCTGAGTTGTAGTACACTGCCTCTGAGTTGAAGTACACTACCTCTGAGTTGTAGTACACTGCCTCTGAGTTGAAGTACATATTATTGATCAGGATTTGATCCAGAGACAATCAGTGATAAAGTATAAAGACCTCAGAACAACAAAGAGCAGATATTATATATAGAGTAAAGTACAGAGTGTCATAACATTGAAATACTCAAAGTACAGGTAACTCTAAAGTGAACTTAAAGGACTTGCTCTACGCATCTGTAAAGACAAACGTATTTATGATGACACACAGGGGCCGCCATCTTTTAAAATGTTCCCGCCACATGTTTGCTTTGTGTTTTTTACCCGAAAACACTATAATTAGAAGATAAAAGATAGAACAATGAGTTCCATGAGATCTGGATAATACAGAAAGCTCGGCACAGCATCACGTGGGGCAATAGGTACTTTGGAAACCGTGTTACAGCGGTAACTTCTAAACTATACTAACTCTCATTATTTAACATATAAAGTGAGCGCCTTTATCCAACATGTGTTAACTGGTGTCTCTTTGCTGGAGCAGCGCATCTCCTCTCTGTAACTACTCTGATACAACATGTTATCCTTCAATAAGAACTGTTCTCACCGTGAACACCGAGCAGCGGCTGCAGCAGATGCTCCTGAACGCCTCCGGAGGATTTAAAAACACATTTAATGGAGATATCTTTGGAAAAAAACATCAGATTCTCAACGCAGTCTGAGAGAGGAGCAGCCAGGCAGCAGCCATGAGACTTTATGTGACCCGACAACCAATCACAGCGCGTTCTCCTTCTTCTTCCGGTTCTTCTGTTTCCTTATTGGTGGAGATCAGATGGATGACCGCCCCCTGCAGGACGGGAGGACGGTTTAAACCCTCAGCGGGAGAAAGTTCTTCAAATAAAGTGAAAACATTGAAATTAGTTTATTTCTGCCTAACAACAAAGGTCAGATGAAGTCATGTTATTGGAGATCCATCATGGCCTCGATCTATAGTTTCATTTAAATCAAGAGAGGAAGTGAACTTCTTCGTATAACACACATATGCTTAAATATAATTGACAGGGTTAGTTAGCACCGGGTAACGGGCCGTCTCCACGGCAGCGTTAAAAAATCTTGAAACGCTTCTGCCCATTCACTTTGAATGGGGTGACGTCACTTTTTTTCGCTTTCGCCGAAATGCATTGTGGGCAGGCGAGCGGAGATTCTCAGGATTTTCAAGATCCAAAGTTGAACAATGTTCAACTTTTGAAGCTGAGGAGGAAGCGTCAGCCAATCAAATCCCGTGTACGCAAATCTGACAGTTCAAGCTCTAGCCAATCAAACGGCGTGTATGCTGGGAGAGACATACCGCAGATCATTTCCTCATATTCCAAAAAATGGAGGAGAAATTAGCGGTAGCGAATCAATCACCCGGTGCTTTATGACCAGACCTACCGGGATATAAACCGGAGGAGCCAGGCATGGAGGGAGGTGGCAGAGACAGTGGTATGTTTTCGCCTGTTTTGGGGAGTTTATATCCAGTTTACTTCGGGCTTTTTGGCTTCGTATGTCGCGGGCGGGAGATTCATGTGATTGGTTGATCGCAAAAAAATCCCCAAGCTTCAGATACGCCCACCTCCAAGATTTTTTTAACGCTGCCGTGGAGACGGCCCGTTACTCTCGGCCTGCGCCCTCATATCAAAATGCAGATTTCCCCCGTAAAATGTTAAAGTGATGCCAGAAAACAATATTTCTGTTCGTCAAAAACTGTATATTTGCTCCAGAAATATGAGTATAAAATAGAGCGTTAGACGGCAGCTTCGTTACGGGCGTTATGTTCTCGCGAGAATGTATGATCAGCGGCGTCATACTATATCTTTCTAGAAAAACATGTTCTAGATTCTAGAAGAATTAAAATGAATAAGAACAAATATTAAATCCACATCTGTTTGTCGAATGAGTTACTAGTTATATGTCTGCTTTAGTTAACTGTAACATTAATTAATATTCAACAGGTAAAAACAGTGTCGCGTGTAAACCATGAGAAAATCACCTTATGATGCCTTCAAGGGCTGCAGCTGGAGTAGGATTTATTGTTTTCTTAGTCGGTTTTTGAATTTTCTACACATTTCTTTCATGTAGATCATTTATTTTCTTGACTGCACTTTATTTAGTTTGAACACAATAATAAAAGATAACATCTGTGTTTTAAAAACAATATTTAGGGGTCTTGGATGATGAATAACGTGTATTGTATTCGACTGTAGAGATTAAAAGCATTTTGAAGTCAAACAAGAACACGTACAACCCAAATTAGATATGATAACGACACTAGATTAGAATACTATATTAATGTAATGTAAACAATGAAAACTGTAAAAGAAACATGTATGGAATAACTGATATAACCAGATGAAGTTGGTAGTTTACGACGCGGATAAAAGACGCTGAAGGCACCATAACCGTTAGGATTTAAATAAACCAACGGATTTTATGAATTTTTAACGGATTTAATTACGTTTTTAACAGTTTTCTCCGGTTTTATGAACGGTTTTCCAGAGAAGAGGGGTGAAATAACTGCAGCTGGAAGAGGAAATACTGTTCTCTGATCATTTAATATACATTTCTCTCAGGTAGATCATTTTATGTCTTAAAAGTCTTTATATTTATGGACAAACTAATGATGAATGAAAACATCTGTGTAGTTAAAGCAGCATAAATGTGTATTTGATGATGAATAATGTTTATTTCAACTGAGAGACAATTTGAGGAGGGGCAGAGATTCGTACAGGAAGAAGCTGGAGACTAAGCTCCAGCTGAACAATAGCAGGGATGTCTGGGCTGGGATGAAGGCTATCACTGGCTTCAAAGGGAGAGACAGACTGACTGTGGGCACCCTGGAGAGGGCCAACGAGCTGAACACCTTCTTCAATAGGTTTAGCTCTCCGCCCGCTGCTGTCTCCTCCACTTCCTCTTCTCACCTCACCTCCTCCTCTCAGCCTGGCGTCAACATCCCCCCTCTGCTCACCACCTACACTTCACACCTCTCCTCCACCACCCAGCCTGGCTTCTGCACCCCCCCTCTGCTCACATTGCCGCTGACCCCCCCCCCCCTCTGCTCATCTTGCCTCAGACCCCCCCCCCCTCTATCCCCCCTTCCATCTAGCCCCCCCCCCCCGCTTCACTGTGAGCACAGGACAGGTCCAGAGTCAGATGGAAAAACTCCACCAAGGCAAGGCTGCTGGCCCTGATGGTATCAGCCCCAGGGTCCTGAGGACCTGTGCACGCCAGCTGGCTCCTGTTCTCCAGTATATATTCAACCTGAGCCTGCACTTGGAGACCATCCCGGTGCTGTGGAAGACATCATGCGTTGTTCCGGTCCCTAAAAAGACAACTCCTTCTGGGCTCAATGACTATCGCCCTGTAGCACTCACATCTCATGTGATGAAGGTGCTTGAGAGACTGGTCTTGGCCCATCTCAGACCGCAGGTGAGATCATTCCTTGACCCTCTGCAATTTGCCTACCAGCCTCACCTGGGGGTGGACGATGCCATTATTTACCTGCTGCAGCGTGCTCACTCATACCTGAATGGATCGGGTTGCACTGTGAGAATCACCTTTTTTGATTTCTCCAGTGCATTCAACACGATCCAGCCTCGGCTACTGAGTGACAAGCTGCAGGCTATGAGGGTAAACTCGTCCACCATCTCCTGGATTACCAACTACCTCACGGACAGACCACAGTACGTCCGGCTGGGCAGTGTGCTGTCTGATGTGGTGGTTGGTAGTATTGGAGCCCCACAGGGGACTGTGCTGTCTCCTTTCCTGTTCACCTTATACACCTCTGACTTTCTATACAACTCAGAGTCATGCCACCTGCAGAAGTTTTCGGATGACTCTGCAGTGGTAGGGTGTATAAGGGATGGACGGGAGGAGGAGTACAGAGCGCTGGTGGGTGATTTTGTTGAGTGGACTGGAAGAAATCATCTGCTTTTGAATGTGGCCAAGACCAGAGAGATGGTCATTGATTTCAGGAGGAAGAGGACATCTCCTCCTCTGCCCCTGTGCATTCTGGGAGAGGATGTGGCAGTTGTGGAGGTCTACAAGTACCTGGGAGTGCACTTAGACAATGGGCTGAACTGGAGGATCAACACTGACGCTGTGTACAAGAAGGGGATGAGCAGACTCTATTTTCTGAGGAAGCTGAGATCCTTCAACGTATGCAGTAAGATGCTGGAGATCTTCTATCAGTCTGTTGTGGCTAGTGCACTCTTCTTTGCTGCGGTCTGCTGGGGGGGCAGCATCAGAGCCGGTGACACCTGCAGGATCAATAAACTGATCAGGAAAGCTGGGTCAGTCATCGGCATCAAGCTGGAACCCTTTGAAGCTGTGGTGGAGAGGAGGACACTGAACAGGCTGTTGTCCATCATGGATAACCCCACCCATCCTCTCCACCTGCAGCTGGACAGTCAACGGAGCTCCTTCTCCAACAGACTGCTGCAGCTCCCCTGTCTCAAGGACAGATACTGGAAAACATTCCTGCCCACTGCAATAACACTGTACAACAAATCACCTCTGGCTGGAAGAGAACTCTCTGCTCCATAGTTTCTCTAGAAATAAAACCACCTTGTACATTTTACTCACACATAATCTGTTTCATATTTAATACTCCATAATTCCATATATTTTGAATATATATATATTTGTATATTTGTATATATATATATATATATATATATATAATATCTGTATGTATATTTTCTATTTTGTATTTTGACATGTATATTTTATATTTTATTTTATATTTTATTTTATTTTATTTCTATTCTTGTATATTTTGTTTTATTGTAAAATGCCTTTTATGCTGCTGTAACAAAAACAATTTCCCAATTTGGGATCAATAAAGTACGATCTATCTATCTATCTATCTATTTTATGGATATAGTTGAATATATAATATACAGTGTAGTTGAATATAGGCCTACATATTTTTCTGCATTAAAAGCATTTTAGACACTTTTTATATTTAACCTGGGAACAGAACACATGATAATGACTACAAGAGATGCTGCAATTACTGCAGTTATTATAAGGTTCTAACGGTTATTATAAGGTTCTAACGGTTATTATAAAGTTCTAACGTTATTATAAAGTTCTAACGGTTATTATAAAGTTCAATCGTTATTATAAAGTTCTAACGGTTATTATAAAGTTCTAACGTTATATAAAGTTCTAACGGTTCTCAGGGTTTCTGGCGGTTTTTCACGGTTTCTAACAGTTTCTAATGGTTTCTAACAGTTTCTCACAGTTTCTAACAGTTTCTAACGGTTTCTAACTGTTTCTAACGGTTTCTCACAATTTCTAACAGTTTCTAACGGTTTCTAACAGTTTCTAACAGTTTCTAACGGTTTCTCACGGTTTCCAACGGTTTCTCGCGGTTTCTAACGGTTTATACCAGTTTCTCACAGTTTCTCACAGTTTCTCGCAGTTTCTAACAGTTTCTAACAGTTTCTCACGGTTTCTCACAGTTTCTAACGGTTTCTCACAGTTTCTAACAGTTTCTAACGGTTTCTCACAGTTTCTAACGGTTTCTCGCGGTTTCTCGCGGTTTCTCGCGGTTTCTAACAGTTTCTCACGGTTTCTCACAGTTTCTCACGGTTTCTCGCAGTTTCTAACGGTTTCTAACAGTTTCTCACGGTTTCTCACAGTTTCTAACGGTTTCTAACAGTTTCTCACGGTTTCTCACGGTTTCTCACAGTTTCTCACGGTTCCTCCTCGGTCTATAGAGTGTCTCCAGAGGGAAGCAGTGAGCCTTCAGATGGAGGGCAGCAGGGACGAGCGTATAGAGGTCATCCTCCGCCTCACGCTGAGCAGCTTGGGGCTGCAGATGGAGGTCTGGAGGGACTTCCTGTCTGAGGAGGAGAACCAGGTGACCCTCAGCAGCTTCTTCAGCATCGCAGACTACAGCAATCTGTTCCTGTGCCGGGACCCGGGGCTCTGCATCAGCCTCACCTTCCCCTCTCAGACCTCCTCTAAAGTCCTGGTTCTCTCCAGGAGCAGCAGGGCAGTCATCAGCGCAGAGAACATCAGAGACATGTTGATCATGCAGGAGGTGCAGGGGGGGGGGCGCCGTGAGCTGCATCAGCGCCGTCTGCCAGGAGGTACCACTAACATGAGGCTAACATTATAGAGAGAAGCTAACACTAGGCTAACATTAAGGAGATAAGCTAACACTAGGCTAACATTAAGGAGATAAAGATTGGGCTAACATTAAAGAGAGAAGCTAACATTAGGGCTAACATTAAACAAATAAACTAACATTAGGGCTAACATTAAGGAGATAAAGATAGGGCTAACATTAAGGAGAAAAACTAACATTGGGCTAACATTCAAGAGAGAAGCTAACATTAGGGCTGACATTAAAGAGAGAAGCTAACATTCAAGAGAGAAGCTAATTTGAGACTAAGGCCAACATTAAGACTAATGTTATCTTAGAATAATGCAAATATTGAGGCTGTAGTGATCACTGATTCATACACTGGGGCTAACATTAGGTTAAGGTTCATTCAAGTTAAGGCTGACTTTAAGATGTCAGTTCATTTCAGATCCTTCTTTCCTACTGCTGCTCTCCGATTGGTTCCTTCCTTCCTACTGCTGCTCTCCGATTGGTTGTGCTTTGAAAGGTCAGCGGTGATCACGATCAAAGTAAAACACTTTTTTGATCGCAGCAATCCCAGTTTGACCTTTGAGTGGTGCTAGGCTAGGCTAGGAGTTACTGATCATGTGAAGGTGGTAGTTTGTTTTAAGTTAGGAATGAGGTCTGAGTGTAACCAGGTGTGTCCTCCCTGAAGGTCACCTGTCCGCTGCTCAGTAACCCGGACCCGAGCGGCGGCTGGGCGGCCGGTGTAGCCGAGGAGGCACTGAGGTTCATGGAGCGCCAGAAGAACGAGGCGCTGGTGATGGAGGCTCAGATCCACGGGCGCACCTTCCTGCCTCAGCCCCATGCTCTCCATGACAACCGTCTCCATGGGGATGTGGACCACGATGGAGATCTCCACGACGACGTGGACGAGAGGTGAGACATCCATCTCTGACAGCGTTCATCACACCAACAGGAAGCTGTCAGAGAGAAGATCCTCCTTCTCTCCTCTAACAGGAAGCTGTCAAAGTGAAGCTCCTCCTTCTCTCCTCTAACAGGAAGCTGTCCGACCTGAAGCTTCTCCACGCCTGTGATTGGATGATCATTGAGTGGGCGGAGCTTGTGTCAGAGTTCCTGCAGCAGGACTCGTCTCAGGCGGTTCTGGACGGCCTGAAGCCGCTTCCCTGCGAGGAGTTTAACTTCTGGAGGAACCGCCTGAAGAACCTGCTCCACATCCAGCAGCAGGTCTGTCTCTATGTGTCCTACAGACACTATGTCTCACACTGTGTCCTACAGACACTATGTCTCACACTGTGTCCTACAGACACCATGTCTCACACTCTACTGTGTCCTACTCTCACACTGTGTCCTACAGACACCATGTCTCACACTGTGCCCTACAGACACCATGTCTCACACTGTGTCCTACTCTCACACTGTGTCCTACAGACACCATGTCTCACACTGTGCCCTACAGACACCATGTCTCACACTGTGTCCTACAGACACCATGTCTCACACTGTGCCCTACAGACACCATGTCTCACACTCTGCTGTGTCCTACTCTCACACTGTGTCCTACAGACACCATGTCTCACACTGTGTCCTACAGACACCATGTCTCACACTCTACTGTGTCCTACTCTCACACTGTGTCCTACAGACACCATGTCTCACACTCTGCTGTGTCCTACTCTCACACTGTGTCCTACAGACACCATGTCTCACACTGTGTCCTACAGACACCATGTCTCACACTCTACTGTGTTCTACTCTCACACTGTGTCCTACAGACACCATGTCTCACACTGTGTCCTACAGACACCATGTCTCACACTGTGCCCTACAGACACCATGTCTCACACTCTACTGTGTCCTACTCTCACACTGTGTCCTACAGACACCATGTCTCACACTCTACTATGTCCTACAGCTGAGACACCATGTCTCACACTGTGTCCTACAGACACCATGTCTCACACTGTGTCCTACAGACACCATGTCTCACACTGTGTCCTACAGACACCATGTCTCACACTGTGTCCTACAGACACCATGTCTCACACTCTACTATGTCCTACAGCTGAGACACCATGTCTCACACTGTGTCCTACAGACACCATGTCTCACACTGTGTCCTACAGACACCATGTCTCACACTCTACTGTGTCCTACTCTCACACTGTGTCCTACAGACACCATGTCTCACACTGTGTCCTACAGACACCATGTCTCACACTGTGTCCTACTCTCACACTGTGTCCTACAGACACCATGTCTCACACTCTACTATGTCCTACAGCTGAGACACCATGTCTCACACTGTGTCCTACAGACACCATGTCTCACACTGTGTCCTACAGACACCATGTCTCACACTCTACTGTGTCCTACTCTCACACTGTGTCCTACAGACACCATGTCTCACACTCTACTGTCCTACAGACACCATAAGCTCGTCTCAATACCCCTCCTCGACTCCTCTCTTCCCCCTCCTCCTCCATGTTGAAGGACGTCCCAATAGCTGAAATGCACACGCAGGAGTCGAGGAGGAGTGAGGGAGGATACACGAACGCAGACTACGCAGAAGTGTTTTCACTACTCGTATAAAAGCCCCACCTTCACAGCTGGTCCATTTCAACACAGGAAAACGGAGAACTGGAAGAATGAGTGGGAAAGCGTCCCATAAATGTCTAAGTGCTCACAGCTCCGTGGGAATTATTATGTGCAATTCATTTCTTAAGGTTAAACTAACAATTTAAGTCATGTTTAATGATCTTAAACGTCCCTAAAACCCTAGCTATTAAGAAAGCTATTTCATAAATGGCTAGATCTTGATAAATAACAATTATTTTATAGTTTTGTGTTAAAATATTCAGTAGTTAAATTATTTAAAATACACAGTCCTGAATGTGGGTTTGTGGTGAATGTGGGGATCCACAGGACACACATGTTCAGAGTAAAGGCTTTCACATTACTATCATTATATTTTTATTTAAACGTAGGCTACATTTTACACCACAACGGAACACAAAAGCAGGACCAATCATCATACATTGAATTCCTTGACTAACAAGAGAAAGATTCATTCATTTAAATACATATTTAACAACAAATGGGCCGGTTCTAAAGGTTATTCAGTTTAAGGTGGGGTATGTCATTTTGGAGAAACCAGCTCGAGTGCGCTAGAATTTGAAAGTCCACAACCGGAACAAACCTGCCACTTCCTCACAGAGCCCCTCCTCCAACACACACGAACGCGCACATGACCAATGAGGGCACGAGATAAGTTTGTGCACAGATGGAAGGCTGACAGGCAGGTAGGCCATCCAGTTATTTTAGCCGGGCCGGCTCAGATGATTGGTCGTGCTTTTTACAGTACTACGGCTTCCACAGATGATATTTTTTGATGGATTTTTTGTCAAAGCATTTAATGTATTCATTGCTATCGGGATGTTAAGAGCATTCCATGGAATATAACAAAAAGTGTTTCTGAAATAAATGACATACCCCACCTTTAAGACCGATGAGAGGGGATAAAGCTGTGCACATGTCATCATTAACAGACGTCGTTTAAAAGTGACGTTTGAGTGAACGAGGACATCCCAATTAATACCTGAGGACTCCTCTGTCCTCGCGTCTCCTCCTCGTGTCTCTCGCTCGCATCTTACGGAGGCGGAGCGCTCGATCCTCGGTCCTCGATGTGCATTTAGAGAAATTAGATGCCCTTCAACATGGCGCGCTGAAATCCATTTCCGGGTCACTACCGGAGGACAGAGGAGTCGAGGAGGGGAAATTAGAGTATTGAGAAGCCTTCCAGGTCTCACACTCTACTGTGTGTACAATAGCTACCCTCTGCTCCTAACCCTAGGATGGGTTGAGAGCAGAGGTCAAAGTTCACTCTGTGCTGAGTGCTCTGCATGTGAGACATTAGAGAGGACTTCATCCTCCTATTCTTCTATAAGTATTCTCCACTGTGTCCTACAGCTGAGCAGCAGCAGAGCACAGCAGGTGGCCTCCATCGTCCAGCAGGCAGACAGCGTGTACCTGTCCACGCTCAGAGACATCCACACAGACCTGCAGCAAGGTGCACACACACACACACACACACACACACACACACACACACACACACACACACTGATAGAACAGGAAGTGAACAGCATGTATACTGAGCGGTGCTGTGTGCTCAGGGCTGAGGGAGGCGCAGGACGTGACGGAGAACCTGGAGCGTGTGCAGCAGAAGCTGGCGGAGCTGCAGCTGATGGAGTTCCAGCAGGTAGCTTCAGTGTGACCTGAAACACAGAGACCCTCCTCCATTCAGAAACAGTTTAAAGTGTGTTGCTGCTTCCTGTGCGCCCTCTCTCCAAAGCATTCATGTTTCTAATAACTGCTGTAAGGTTATTCAGCATCAGTTTAGCATCACATGGAGATAAGCCCCGCCTCCAGGCCAGTGCGTGTAGTTTGAGTGACGCGAGTAAACACCAATGACGACCGATGTGAACACACCACACCAGGCCGTGCTAACAAGTAGCTGTAGCGTGTCATGTTCTTCAGGAACCTCTGACCCGTACTGATGACATCATCACTGTGTGTCCGGCAGCTGGAGGCCAACATGGCGGCGGTGATGGAGGAGGTGCAGCTGCTGTGGGTCCGCTCCGAGTTCTACTGTAAACCCTGCAGGGTGGTGGTGCTGCTGCAGGAGGTCTGCAACCTGTTCATCCAGAGGGTACACACACACACACACACACACACACACACACACACACACACACACACACACACACACACACACACACACACACACACACACACACACACACACACACACACAGACCGTATTTCACCTGACTCCATAATGAAGTGCTTTGTAGTCTTTGAGCATGAGGAAAAGCGCTGTAAAAATCCCATGTATTATTATTGTTATTATTGTTATTATTATGATATTCTGTATTGACTGTAACCCCCCCTGTGTGTGCAGAGCAGGGACTTCCTGCAGGGGGGGGGGCGAGCTGCTGAAGGGTCTGCTGTCGGGTCCTGATAAGGTTCTGCAGGACGTCAGCCTGGTGGTCCGGACCCTGCAGACCCTCAGAGAGACCTTCATCCAGAGCAAGAGGAGGCTGCAGGACATGAAGCAGGTCAGACACACACACACACACACACACATACACACACACACACACACACACACACACACACACACACACACACACACAGTATTATTGTATGAGAGAGGTTCCAGGTTGAATTGAAGCGAATATTTGTAATGTTCAGGTTGTTGTGTTTAATATTCATGAGAATATTTGTCATTGTTCAAATGATAATAAACAAACATATAAAGCATATTTGTCCACTCATATGTTGATAAGAGTATTCAAAACTTATCCCTCTAAGGTACATTTAGAACAGATAAAAAATGTGCGATTAATTTTCGATTAATCGCGATTAACTATGGACAATCATTAATTGATTAAATATTTTAATTGACTGACAGCCCTATAAATAATGTATTATATTACATGATTGGCTCTGCATTGGATTATTATCAGTTCTGGTAATAACTTCATAATAACTACGTCTGAAAGCTGTGTGTGTGTGTGTGTGTGTGTGTGTGTGTGTGTGTGTGTGTGTGTGTGTGTGTGTGTGTGTGTGTGTGTGTGTGTGTGTGTGTGTGTGTGTGTGTGTGTGTGTGTGTGTGTGTGTGTGTGTGTGTGTGTGTGTGTGTGTGTATTTGTGTGTGTGTGTGTGTGTGTGTGTGTGTGTGTGTGTGTGTGTGTGTGTGTGTGTGTGTGTGTGTGTGTGTGTGTGTGTGTGTGTGTGTGTGTGTGTGTGTGTGTGTGTGTGTGTGTGTGTGTGTGTGTGTGTGTGTGTGTGTGTGTGTTGCAGGAGGGGGCCGCTCAGAGCTGGGACTTCCCTTCACACCTCGTCTTCCTCCACCTGGATAACTTCCTGCTACACCTGCAGAACATCCAGGTACACACGCACACACACACACACACACACGGTACACACACACCTTGTCAGTGCTCATGATGCCCCCCCCCCTGTGCAGGAGGTGTTCAGGGTCAGTCTGCAGCTCCGTCAGCTGGAGGAGGCGGTGGTGTCGGGCGCTGGCGGCAGGAAGTGGACGGAGGAGGTTCAGGAAGTGTATCAGGACTTCCTGCTTCATGTGACCTCTCTGTCAGAGTGCAGCTGTGATCCCACCGACCCCGAGCAGCAGGTGAGAGCCGTGAGAAGCAGCTTCCTGTGTGCCTCTGAGCTGCGTCTGACGCCCCCCCCCCTTTCTCTCAGGGTTTCCGGCTGCTCCTGGATCAGTTCCAGCTGCAGGTGGAGCAGGTGGAGCAGCGGCTGGTGTCCGTGCTCTGCAGAGCTCTGCAGGACTGCAGCGAGCCGGCCTCTTCAGCCAAGGTACCTTTAACATGTTTATACAGTCTATGGTTTAAACATGCACCCCACAGAGTGTGAGAGCGCCCCCTGCTGACCGACAGAGGGTTACATCATGCAGCCAACCCCACAGAGTGTGAGAGCGCCCCCTGCTGACCGACAGAGGGTTACATCATGCAGCCAACCCCACAGAGTGTGAGAGCGCCCCCTGCTGACCGACAGAGGGTTACATCATGCAGCCAACCCCACAGAGTGTGAGAGCGCCCCCTGCTGACCGACAGAGGGTTACATCATGCAGCCAACCCCACAGAGTGTGAGAGCGCCCCCTGCTGACCGACAGAGGGTTACATCATGCAGCCAACCCTACAGAGTGTGAGAGCGCCCCCTGCTGACCGACAGAGGGTTACATCATGCAGCCAACCCTACAGAGTGTGAGAGCGCCCCCTGCTGACCGACAGAGGGTTACATCATGCAGCCAACCCCACAGAGTGTGAGAGCGCCCTCTGCTGACCGACAGAGGGTTACATCATGCAGCCAACCCTACAGAGTGTGAGAGCGCCCTCTGCTGACCGACAGAGGGTTACATCATGCAGCCAACCCTACAGAGTGTGAGAGCGCCCTCTGCTGACCGACAGAGGGTTACATCATGCAGCCAACCCCACAGAGTGTGAGAGCGCCCCCTGCTGACCGACAGGGTTACATCATGCAGCCAACCCCACAGAGTGTGAGAGCGCCCCCTGCTGACCGACAGAGGGTTACATCATGCAGCCAACCCTACAGAGTGTGAGAGCGCCCCCTGCTGACCCACAGAGGGTTACATCATGCAGCCAACCCCACAGAGTGTGAGAGCGCCCTCTGCTGACCGACAGAGGGTTACATCATGCAGCCAACCCCACAGAGTGTGAGAGCGCCCCCTGCTGACCGACAGGGTTACATCATGCAGTTCATAGACAGACTCACTAATCACCATCAGCTGAAGTCCAGGTAGCATCCAGTTAGCCTTAGCTGTGGTACCATCATTGGGAGTAGGTGCTCCATCACCTGAGGGACCTCCGTCAGCCTCAGTGTGACTGCTCCTCACTGTACAGGTTGTTACATGAACTATGTGACCTGTAGATATGGAATTGCTCTCTTGACTGCACTCTTAGTGCTGCTGTGTCTCTGTAACTCTGGAACAACCATGTCCTTGTTATCTTGTGTTTCAGCTGCTGCAGATGTTCAGCTTCATGCTGCACCGCCCTGTGATCCAGGAGCAGCTGCGCCCCCACCTGCTGCACCTGCTCCAGGGGTTCCTGCTGGAGCTGGACACCATCGAGCAGCTGTTCTACACCCAGAGAGAGAAGGCACACACCTTCAGCTGCTACACCCCCCCACCTGCAGCCGCACTCTGTTGGAGCCGGCAGCTCAGGCTGAGGGCGGAGCACACGCTGCACCTCTACACCTCCCTGAAACACCTGTAAGACCTCACCTGCACCTCTACACCTCCCTGAAACACCTGTAAGACCTCACCTGCACCTCTACACCTCCCTGAAACACCTGTAAGACCTCACCTGCACCTCTACACCTCCCTGAAACACCTGTAAGACCTCACCTGCACCACTACACCTCCCTGAAACACCTGTAAGACCTCA